AATTATGCAATTTATTGTTTTAACGATAACCATACAAATACGATATTTATTAATAAAAACGTCGTTGAAAATGATTCGTTCGAAAAATTTTAAAGTTAATTGCAGTAACGCTATAGTGTTTTTGGCGCTCGAATTGATTTTAAGATTTTAATTTAAATTATCAACAATTATGCCAACAATATACGAGTATGCACTTATTCATAATTGTTTGAGCGATATAATACTTCTTTGTTTCGGTGTTTTTTCTTTTTATGTTGTTCGTCGATTAAAATTTTTTTTATGTTTATTAATCTGTTTATAAAATAGATACTATGCTAAGCAACAATTAAATTGAGTATATTTCATACATATCTTTCAACAAGTTTTTTTAATTCTGTAAGACGTAAGTTTATTCACATACGTAATCTTTTAATTTTAATTTGTTAAACAATTTTTAATGCGTTTACGAGTAGCAAAAAATTATAACGATTAAATAAATAAAAAATATCCCATGCTTTTGGTTAGTTTTTATTAATTTTATTTTTTCTAGGAGAAATAAAAATAAAAATATTATAAACTATTCCTATACTAAAATTTATGAGAATAATAAATTACCGATTTTAATATTTTCGACTTTTTTTTTACACTTGTTGAATTATGATAATATTTTAAGTTATGTTTGACATTTAAATAATAATTTATTTTCGTTTAATTCAATATAGTCATTTTATGTATTAAAATGATAAAAATACAATCTGAATTTCTGTATTTCATTTTAATTTACTAACGAAAATCTTATTTATAAAATACACAACGAATGTTCTTTCTCTTTTGGTACATACAAATATAGGAAATATTTATAAAAGCAAATTTATAATTAATGTTTGTCGAAGTTTTAGAAATGATACCTAAGTTAAAAACAGCGAAATAAAGTGATAAATTATACAAGAAAAAGTTGTAATGTTCAATCTATAAAATCGTAAACATATTTGAAGTTTGATCTCACGAGAAATCCAAAAAGAAGAATTATTTAAGGAATTGTACATACTATAACAACAAATAATACATATACGCACACACACACACACACATGTACATTGGTGGTAATAGAGAATATTTCATAGGATTGAAAGCACATTGAAATTACCTTCCTACACAAACCCATAGGGATATCATCGACCCTAACTTTAACATGGCTTAAATATTTTTAAGAATTTATATTAAATATAATTATTATTTAAAAACATTTAAAAATAATACCAGTACAGATTGTGTTGTATTTTAATCTAGTAAATTATATATTTCTAGAAAAACATATCAAGGTTTTAATAATAAAAATATGTTTCGCTTATGACAATAATATGTAGAATATATGTTACGATAACAATTCGAGTTTTATTCAGTAGACCAACATCCTACTGGTGTGAAATTAAATTATGGTTAACTTGTATTGCGTTTCATATAACAAATTAATATACTGTGATAAAATGTTTAATTTATAATTATTATTTCATTTAAAATAACATAGAAGAATTATTTTATACTAATATTTATATATGTAGTGACTTCGTGCGTTATCATAAAAAATTAAAATTGTCATTAAAGCCTACATTAAAATTAATATTTGGATTTTTTAATACATAGTAAATCTATTTTATCTGAATACAAATAATTTACAAACGATAACAACGGTCGAATTTAATTTTCAATTTTTTTTTTTCTTAATAATAGTCGTCTTAAAATCATCAGAGTTGATTTTAAATTTGAATAATTACAATAAATAAAAATTGTGTTTTTATAACATTAATGTATCTAAAAATAAAATTATTCGAATAAATTAAAAATGAGAAAAATATATTAATGTTATTGGGTTTCAATTAATTAAATTTATTGTATATGTTTAACCAAGAAAATATCACTTTGAAAAACATTCTTAAATAATGCTTTACGTTAATTTTATTCTTACCGATTATTAATATTTCAGACACAATTATTTTAATACTTTTTGAAAATATATCTAGAGTATATGAAAATACACTTGCCTAGTGCCAATTTTATCTGATTGCAGTAAATAAAATATAGTTTTCACACAGAGTACATTGGTCTCGAGTGAAAATATGAGAAAGTGAATCCCGCTTTCTCGGTACGGATTGAAAGTTTTCATATTTTGAAACGTCACACACAACCAAATCGTCGTGAATATTTTATTTTCAGTACTATGTACGAGTATAACCGATGGATATTTCTCAGATTCAAATCGGTCTATCAGATCAGCTTCAGTCTTTTAATGAATATATATTAGTATAGGTTCACCTATTCATTAGGAAATCATTTCATTTTTTATATCCGGTAGAAATCCTAAATATTCGGTGTAGTCAATAGCAAAATAACTATCAGCTATTTATCGGAATTTTTTTTTTTTTTTTAAACATTCGATTATTTATAATCATGTTTTGTTTGGTGAGAGGGCGACAAGCTTATATGCCACCGATGTCATACGTACCAAATAGTATGTATCGTACTTAAAGCAAGAAAAATTCTGCATCGTATCACGTTGTCTTTATTTTTATCTTTTGATCTTGGAAAAAAAAATCGATTTTACAAAACGTAAAAAAAGCACAACATTTTCGGTTCACCCTGTACATCTTACGCGCATAGAGATTTATCGAGGATTCATCCGCTAGAGGTGTACCTGCGGTTGCGTACAGCTGTAAAACAAGGTAAAGTACAGCTGCGGGTCGCACGTATACCATGTACACACATACACACATAGACTATGATGGTAATAATATATATAAATGCGTTGTATATTGTAAATTGTATATGTGTGTGTGTGGGTAAAATGGTAGCAAAATGTACCTCTATATCCCCAATACCTATTCGTGTATATATTGAACGCGCGAGTTTTCTCATTTATCGCGAGATTAATTTGTCTTCCGGGACAATGGGCTGCAATTAGTTTCGGCGAAGGGCTTACCGTCGCCGCCGCGCAAAAGGAATTCGTGGTAGCTCGCTCGCCGTGCAGGATTCTTCAACGACAGATAAAAGACAAACAGGGCTCGTGTCCACCGCCCGCCATCCGACTTCGGCTAGACGAGGGTCTGTCAAACACGAGCTCGCCCAAACGATTGACATCCCGTATATATATATATAAATAAGTGTGTGCGTTCGTAAGACGTAGAGAAGTCGGACGAGGAGAGCGAATCTTTCGAAGAAACTTCCTCTCGTCGACGGTACATCGGACGTGTGTGGTATATACCGCACTCGTGTTAGCCGGCCCATGGTTAATTGTCTGGGAAATTGCGGGCTGCACTCTCTATATCAGTGACAGGCAACCATCAACGCACAAACACAATCAGCTGCTCACCCGTCCGCGCACGTCCGTCGTCGCCCCATGTACGTTTATAGTTCGTACAACGACGAGGGCGCTTAATCTGCCATTAGTCGACGACCGGCGGCCTCTTCTATTTTTCTTTCTAGCACCATAAACTTTTTTTTTTTCCTTTTTTCCCTCCGCTACTACTGAAAAACCTTGGTCCGATAACGGAACTACCCTCGGTTTCGCGCACTTTTTCCGTATTGTCCTGTTTCGTACGGCCGGTTAGGCGATAAAGAAAAAGGAAAAGAATTAAGTTCGTGTCGCAAGTACGCGAAAACAAAAAAATTGATCATCTGTACCACAACGTGCAGTACAGTCATGGTTTACTGCCACATTGACGTAACCAGGGGTGTATTCGTTCATATACGCGGGTATACGGCGTATACCCATCAGCAAATTTTCGATTTTCGGCGTTTACCTAATGTAAAATATTATTTTACGGGTATACGCTTCTAAAATAACTTGAAAACAAAAAAAAAATAATAATAATTTTATAGTTCATTGGAAAAAATCGTTATGAACAATGAAATTTAATGAAATATCTATTGACAAGGTCGTATTTCTGTTGTGGCCAATTTTTCTTCAATACAAACTTAAAAATAATTTACCTACAGGCAGGGCCCCACA